AATAATAAGGAAGCATGCAAAATTACTGGACTTTGTTCTATTAAGAAACACAAATCCAAATACACTTGCATGCTGCTTGTGTATGTCAGCATAAGGTTTTCTCCTGAGCCAGCCAACCATGGAAAACATCTGCCATTCTTTCTCTGCAGCACCTGCAGATCCTCTCAGCACATTTCTTGTGGTCCTCTGCTAAATTATGACTGATTTTTTAAACACAGACATTCAGAAGGGGAGGGTCTTCACTTTCTCCTTTTGCTCAATGAATTAGGTCCTTTTTCTAAAGCTGCATAATAGTATGCCAGCTTGGTGGTATGGAAAGGGTTACAACTTGGCTGTCTTGAAGGATGGGAACAGGCTGTCGGAAGCCAGGCTTTCCAGTTCACCAGCAATGATGCACTCCTTGGCAGCCTTCAAGAAAGTTCCTGAGGTGAATCCTGGAGCTCTGCTCAGGCGTGACTTCCCAGCACAATTCAATATCTGCAACATGATGCTAACACAGCTTTCTAGCAAATGGTAGTCCTTGCTTCTTCAGTAATGGATTTCTGGCCTCTCATTCTCTAGCCTGCAGCATTTTCATGCCCATCTTCCCTGCAGTCTCTGTTTCTTGCCTGCACAGAGGAATGGAGTCACAGAACTTTACGAGCCTCAATGTTCCTCTTAGTTCTCACTTGAGGGAGATTGTCACTTCTCTTTTGAATGCTAGTCAGCTTCCCAACTCTGTTAGCACCTGTGCCACAACATCCTCTCTTCCCCTTGTGGTCTGGCCCCCAAAGCACTGCCTTGTGAGGAACGATCCCTTTCGCTGCGTGCTGGTGGTCAGGGCTTGCTCTGTTCTGTTCGCATTGGTGATGATAGCTACTACCACAGTAACAGCTAAAACCCAGTAAAGGCACCTCCAGGTAAAATGCCTGGCTCTTAGGTAGTGTGTGTATGTGTGTGGAGTCAGCTGCTGCAGACGGAATTCGAAACACCTGTAATGAAAATGTTATTGAAATGGCCAGTAGAAAATACTAGGTGTTTCTCTGCACTTTTGGCACTGCAGCCAGAGCTGGCACCTTCATTGTCTTGGTGTGACAGCCCAAAACCTCTTCTTCGGGACAAAAACCTATATTCTTCCAAAGAACTCAACTGTTGCCCGATTCTATCGTAATTTAATGGTCAAGGAGTGGGAAGTGCATGCCCTAACTGCCAGGCGGCAGCACAGGCTGGGACAAGCCTTTCAGCTCCTCCTGCAAGGGCTACGGCTCTGTGCAAGGGTCCTGGGGAGGCTGAGCGCAGCAGGAACACGACAGCGTTACCTGTTTGTGGGGACATTCACCCAACGGGAGGAAAATGGGCGCTCCAGTCCCTCTGCAAGTTTCTCCTCTGTTTTATGTATCGACGAGATGTAGTGCCAAATGTGAAATACATCCCCCGAGGGCCCCACTGCCTGCCAGGGCAGCTCTTCTTGGAAGTGGTTGTATCTGTACCCTCCCGCTCGGGCTGCCTTGCTTCTTAGCAAGTGCATTAACCATTTAAGATGTTCACAGCTCAAGTTTTTCTCCTGGACTCTTTTGCCTCTCCCCCCACCCCCAAGGAAACTACCCACAGATAAGTTTCTGGTATTCAGGAGGCTGAATGAGAGTCATGCAGAGAATTTTAAAGTCTGGGGGTTTATGATAGGCACAGGGCCAGGTGATGCAGTCTAGAATAGGGTACATCCAAAGAGATCACAGTTTGGGATTTTGATACCCACACAAACAACCGGAGACATTTCTAGGAAGTCCAAAGTATAACTGTAAATTATGTCATCTGTCCACTCATGATCTAATCCAGTCTAGGAAAAAAAAAAAATTTTGTGAGTTATTATGATGATTTACAAAGCAATAGGAAGCGCTCAAGTAACAGATAAGCCTCTTGCATCTATCAGTATGTCAGAAGCCTTCATCAAATTAAGTCTTGCTGGAGACAGCAATGATCCAAAGTTATTTTAACACGAATTATCCTGCTTTAACAAACAGAGTCTGCAGTTTTAGTCTTCAGTAATCAGCACTCCTGTTGCAAAAGAAGATTGAGGGCAAGGAGTGGGTTAAAGGACAGTTTGCTCTTGGCTCTGCTTGAGTAACTGGAGAAAGGTGTATATAACTGAAGGCATTCTATTACAGTGCATATTAACGCAGAAGTTAGAATCATTAACGTCTGCTCAAAAATTAAAGGCTCAGGTTAAAAGAGCTGTCTGTCAGTTTTAGCCTTGCAGCAGTCCTATGTTCACAAATAAAATGTAGAACTTCAAAAAGGATTAAAACAAGGATTTGCTTTGTTTCTTAGAAGAATGACTAGCTGAGCTGCTTATTTGCAACACTTTCTGCCTGCAGGTTTGCACTTTCATTTGAGCTTTGAATGCAATCCAAGTCAATATGTCAATAAAACTCTTCACTTTCCTTTAGCTGTACTTGTCAACTATGTCAGTGCAATTCTTGGAAAAGAACTTCTGGCTAACTTGTTCTTACCTCTAAGCTGGATGGCTGCCTGCATGTTCATGTGGAGCCATAGCACAATATTTGCTATTGTTGCCTGGCTTTATTTTTATTTTTAATTTCTTCATCTCATAAAACAGAGTTGTTTCCTCAGTTTACATTTTGTCCTGTTCTAATAGGTTTAGCATTTTAAGTTGTTGACACGTTATACAGCCTCCATAAAGTGGAAAGCATGTTCCGGGTCAGACATAATCATAGTTTCCTTGCTGTGCTTTCCCATTGAAGTAGATAGATATTTGTTTTATTTTGGACCTATAAATGACACCCTAAACTCTGAGGGAACGCAAGATGTAAAACTTGAGCTCAAACTGAGTAACGTGACTGAAGAGGTAAGTTTTATTCAGTATGGTGTAGTTTGTTGCCAGAAGCAGAGAAATGAGTAACTGCAGGTATCTGTATTTACTCTGCATTTTTGAGAGCACAGCATGTGTGTGTGCGCCTGAGCGACCACCTGGGAACACTTTGGACCTGTCACTGCAGGAACTGGTCTTAAAAAACGCGGAGTGCTTCGGTTCTTGCCCCATCTCCATCACTGCTACAGCTCCCTGTGCTCTATACTATTATTGTGGTGACACTTTTGTAATCTGTATCAGGCCTTTAAAAGTGTACCTGGAGATCCGGTGTGAAGCACCTGTCAGAACAAGCTAGGTAATTATCCATAAGAACACAAAGCACCCTGTTGTGCAGAGTCAAGCAGACACAGGAATACAAAATCTCTGACTGAAGCTGTTTCTTTAACATGTTACTCCAGTAACACCTGTCTCACTGTATTTTTTTTAATCTAGCTTGTTCCTCTTCATGCTACTTTGAAGGACATTAATGCTGCTAATAATCTTGTCTTTATCTAAGTTGGTGTTAATAAAGGTGTTGTGAGCTGTCTTAGCTTTGGCCATGGTGGTTTAGCTTTTAGAATGCAGATTTTTCATGGTAATTAAATGGTGACAATGAACCAGCTTGTTGATTTCAATATAAATGACTTCCCTGAAACCATGCTTTAAACGGCACACATCATTATCTACCACTTTTTCTACTCTTAACAGCAGACTTTCATTTGAAAGTGCAGTACTCTGCATTTGCCCCGTTCTCTTATCCTGGTAGATAACAGCGTCAAGCAGAAACCAGAGCTGTGAAGTAAAACTGTGATAGCCAGGAAGTTTGATTGCACTAGATGATTAGTTTATTATTGGACGGAACTGCAAAACTGGTGTTGGGACAGTGTAAGTGTAGATTAAAGTCCCTCAGGTTAGCAATTTCTTCTGTCTTGTGTTCTGGAAATTTAGGAATGGTAAGAATGGCTGTAATGAGCCAGAGCAAAGGTGAGCTCGGCTGGACAGTCTAGGGGCTTGCCTGGCTGATTCTTCTGGTTCAGCCCTGGAGAAGGCGACACAGACAGCCTGCGCTTCAGTGGCAGCGGTGGAGTACAGCAGAACGTGGCAGCCGCTTGCTACCCGCGCAGCCACAGTGTTTAATTCGGAGACCGCACAGTAATCTTTCTGAGATTTGGAAAACCTGAACCAGTGACGTATGTCAAGTGTAGCAGGAAATTTGAGGAGATATTTTCCCGAGACTGTTTTCCCCATTGCCTGCATGAGTCAGAAAAAGACTTTTCTGATGCCACTCACAGAAGCGTTACAGAAATTATCAGCCTCCAAATACGCATCTTTCCCCACACACGCACACTGAAAGCTACATGTTTGTTCAGACTGAGTGTTCCTCTGACGTTATTGAAATGCACTGCAGAAACAAGAATCAGGAAAAAAATGGAGGGAGATACACCAGCTGCAGTTTCCCTCCAACTGCCTTTCACCGAAAACTGCAGTGAGTCCCTTTCATCAATAACTGGCTGCTGCATTACCGGTGGGCAAAAGGGGAGTGAGGGAGCAAGATGTGCTAAAGACCCCTTGCTTGGGGTCTTTCCAGGCTGGAAACGCGTAGGTAAGTGCAAAGCTAGTGCAAGGCTGGGGTCTTCTTGAGGTTTGGCCCTTGGCGTTGCATGTTTAGCTTTCACGGAGATGACACCTAGTAGCAGAGGGGTTTTTTTCTTCTGCCTTAACCCTGCAGATACTTGTTTCTGGAGTATTTCTACCCTCGCCATTTCTGTTGTTGAAGAGCCTCGTCAGTGGGAGGGCTGGGAGGGTCTGGCCGTAAGACAGCATGATCTTGGGGTGCTGTGTGAAAAGAAGCCTGTGTTGCCGCGCAGCAGCACACGTAACCACGCATCTGCAGGTGAGAAAAGGAGTACTGCTGAAGTCCGTAGTGCCTCACGGG